ATGAAAGCCGGCCGTAACGCTTTTATAAATTATTCAAGGTGGTCGGGTATTGATCCGCGTGCGCGGCGTCCTTCGCTCATTCCAATATACTTACTCTCCGAAAGTACCATAACCTCTACTTATATTACGATGGTCGGACCATGTCAAGACCTGTTACACAAATGACATTGATTTAGACTCTTGTAAATTCGCGAGTTAGTGGATGCAAATTTAGTTATAAACTAAAAGGGTCTTCTGTAATATGTTACAATAGCTGTCCTAAAAAAATAACTTTACTGGCTCTGTGCGCCCGGATGGAGTTCTGGTTCATGTTTGGTCTTATCTATGTGCTCGTGGAATTCCTCGGATGAGCAACGCTGAAAGTACTTTACCCTTTTGCGCTTTTTGACCCCTTCCATACGCCTGCGTTTTTCCACCCTCCCACTATGTCGATGTCGTAACGTAAACAAAATTTTCGACGGCGCTTAAACTCACGAAATTCCATTCTGTCAGAGACTGGGACACAATCACCTACAAGGAGTGAAGGAGGCACAAAAGATTCTACACGAGCTGTAAGAATAACATACAAAGTGTATCAGAAAATTTATTTTTGCTTTAAAATGATTTTATGCGGTTTATATGTTTTCTAACACTCGGTAGACTTGGAAAACACGAAGAGTCTATGTAAACGTGTCCGATATTCATGGCCCTCTACCTAAAAAGAGCCGCGTGGCGCTGGTAAACACGTGCTATTCAAACCCTTCTCGCAAGTCATCGCGCCTTCATTACAACATATCAGCACCTATAGAAAAAAGTTGAGTGATCGCTAAAATTCCATTCAATTCTGTATCAGACTAAATTTGAGCGTGATCTTGAATACTTGAAGTTTGTAAACTTTGACCGCCTTTGACCTAGTAAACCTTGGACAATCGTATATTCTGCAATAGTAAAACCTTATTTAGGTTTTGTGTCTTCTTGGCCTGGAAAAAACCAGTCGTTTGAGTTTATCAATTAGTCTAATGGCCCTTTTTGGCTTGCTTTGCCAAGATTCGAAAGTAATAAAGCCCGGAAAGGCTTACTAGATTACCAGCCAGCAATATTGGATATATAAAGGGTGTCACCCGAAATAAACCTATGTTATTTGAGCCCAAAAGTAAGAAGTCCTCTAGATTTTCAAACAGATAGTGCGAGAGGGTTGCATCCCATTTACATCCGTGATATATATCAGCCACTATCAGAATGTACCATCGACATTCTGTATCTTAGACTTGCGTGCGACCCTCACTGTACACAGGACTTAGAAACTCATGCCATCGAGGCGAATTCAATTGGAAACTTTCTCGACGCATCCGCGTATCGTGCAGCAATTTCTATAACTGTGTAACTGCACATTGCGAATGTCGGTGGAGGGGTCGCGTGTATGATATTGGGATAAATTTGTTTGGATTTGAGTTTGCAAATGGAGTTCAAGACTTTAACTTTTGGTTTAACTTTTGGCTTTTGGTTGCAAATTTCCGAACAAACAAACATTTCTCTCCGGGAAAAAATTGTAACTTGAATTTTTCTCATTTTGAAATATTGATATTGATGCTAAAATTACAAATGCGTTGGATGTGTTGGAGGGTTCCGGGAGAAAGTTGATTTCAACACTTGAATCCTTTTGGGTATGGAGGACCTCACCCATATCACAATTTACAACAGCGTGTCATGGATGAGTCCTGGAGATTAATATCCGTCCGGCTAGTCCTTGATTTGCATCGCATTATAGTTGAATCCTTTGCTTTAATCCTGATATCTACCGACCCGGAAGTAGATTTTTATGAGGATGTGCGGAATATGCTGAATATAGTAAAATGCGACGCGTTCGCGCTTAAAAGAAGGATGAATAACCTGTCGCGCACGTTTGAATTTAATTTAATTTTCGTCCTGACGCTGCCAGCGGGTCGTTATTGCCATTGCCATTGCCGGTGCTGTTACCCGCTTCACCTGCTGTCCTTATTCTCATCGCCATCCCTTCATAGTCATCGTCATCTACAATGTAATTTTGCTTGTAGCTCGCGCCGGTGCGCGTTTTGCACGTTTTCGGGGCCGGTTTTGTTCCTTTGCATGTCCTGCTGCGTCCTGCACACGGCACACGCTTTGTCCTTGAGTCGGTGTTTGCGCAGCGGCACTGAAATAACGAAATAAAACCGAGCGCTTTTAAATCCCGCCAGCCGCCCGTCAGAGTGACGCGTAAATTCGTCCTTGTTTTTGCGCGCCAAATGTGAGTCCCATGTTTGTTTTCAGCGATTGTGAAGCGCGCAAAAGGAGAAAATCAACTCGCGAATTTCTTTTTGTGCAACATTTGTTTTAATTTCCAGCAAACATCACTAAAATATACATCAGCATCAAAATATAAAATTCACCATCCTTAAAGAGTTTGTAATCTAATCTGGTGAATTTATTAGCTAAATTACGATAACAACCAGAAAATCTTCGTGGTATCGTTATGCTTGAAAAAATATCAAATAACATTATTTTTACATTTTCTGTACGGCGCATTCGAATTTCTCGATTCGTTCAGATCTGAAACCCGAAAAAAATCCACTTGCACACTTTTAGACTTGTCTTCTTGTGCCCATTCCACGCACAAACCTCTTTGTAAGATACCTCTCATGGCTTGCGAGATTTTCATTCCGTTGGCCTAGCCCAGGCGAATGAAACGTGAGAAGGAAAAACGTTGTCGACGGCGGCGGTGGCGGCGTCCCCAAACGAAATTGGAAAATCCGTGCAAACGCGCCGCGCACGCACCCCGGAAACTTTCGCAAACTTTCATCGCGTTATGAATTATTAATAATTCGCGGCGGCGGCGAGAGTGCGCACGTCCACGGTGTAAATCTCAGCGGTTTCGTCCTCGAACCCATCTCAATAGGGCACAAAACTAAGGTTAGGGTTGGCATTCTATCGAAGGATGATAGCGGGTGCCAGCAAAGGGGTGGCAAGTGGGATTTGATGAGAATATTTTCACCACCACAGCGGTAGTAAAAATACCTCAGACATCATTTAAGCGTATTCAAAGGATTTCTTTCCGCAGATATACAGTATGTCCAGAGATTTATTTGTCTTTTGAGTAAAATAATAATAATTCATCTGTTTGATATCAAGAGTAACAGAAAGACAAAAAAGTCATAAAATGATAAATATCATGATTTGGTTATAAACAACAGTGAATATTTTTCCGGCGCTAGATGTTGAGCTGTTCGCCAAAGCATAAACACACTGCAAACGGCGGTTGTTTGTATATCTGCTCACAGTGCTAGCCTTAAGAAATGGTGGCGGAGCGTATAACTTGATATTTATCACCGTCGTTGTAGTGCACCGCAGTCGAATGCAATGCTTTCCTGCGCACGCTTTAAAACCGAGAAGAACTAGTTTCCAGCGAATGGAAAACGCCAAGACTAAAAGACGCCATATTTTACCGCAGAAACTCTTGTGTTCTTCAAAACTAAAAGCATAGTGTCACACTTTAGTTACTTCTTGCATTTGGGTTTCTAATTCTAAGTACGAGTAAATAATAAAATATACGTGATTTTACATTAATTAATAAATTAATGTTAATGATGTGACGTTATAATTATTTTAATATTTATTCTACGTGTAATTAATTAAATATTTATGGGGATATTCATTGCGTGTGGAAAAATGATTTGCTTTTGAAAACGTGATGGTCCCGTGTTTGTTTAGTCTTCTTGTTTTCCGGTTTTCCTGTTTCGTTATACAACTGCAGCCGGAATTAGTTACAATTCGTGCAGCTTATTCTATGCGGCCATACAAATCGGCGTCGTTAGTGCCTGCACCGCTAACTACGCACCATCGATATTTGATGGCCAGTTTAAAGCGGCGGGCGGGTGGCACGGGGGCGGTTCGGCAAACATTACTACCACCGCAATTCTCGATTCAATTCGATATTCGAGGATTCTACCGGTGGACAATTTCCATTCGATTTGGATTTCACATAACATAAACTCAGTGAAAACGAATTTTAAATAAAATTATACAGTGTGTTGATAGTTTTTGTTCTGTTTTATTGATTAGAATTTTTTGTTTTAAAATCGATTGAATAGTTTTTGTGTAATCTTGATTTAAAGTTTTTAAAGCGCCACCTATGTAAAACTGGCAACACTGTTTTGTTGTGTGTCATATTCATGGGCGGAGCTTATGAAACTTAAAACGATGATTACAGGACAACCCATTAACCTAGAGAGCTAAAATAAATGGCAAACCAAAATTGCAAACATTAGTTATAATTAGTATTTAATTACGCCCATCTTACATTATACACACTCGTATTATTTTATTATTAAAACGTCTTCAAAATTCCATCCCCTTTTCTTTTCTTTCATTCCACGTTAATTTTAATATAAAACCTCCGCGCGCACGCCGGTGCTACCCGAGGTTTGCATTTCAGTATTCTAATTTAATTGCAATTTTCTTGCCGGCTCGCTTTAACGTCCCGCGCCCTCCGGCCACTTCAGGTCGAGCATCAATTTCGTAAGGGATGCTTGTTGCGTCCTTCTCGTTCATGTACCGGCCCCCTCATCATGTTGGGCTGCCCCCTGCCCTCTTCACCAATGCAATTATGCGCGAAACTTTCTTAATTTCTATTTGCCTGCAAAATTACGCATATCGAAAATAGCGACTGGAACAAACATGTGCTATGTATGCATTGTGTGTTGCCTATGTTTGCGAAACATGGCAGCCAGGTGCGCGCGCGAAATAATTGCCGCCGGATTAATTCACAATTTGCGAGCGCAATTTGTGAGAGAAACATGTCGGGCATCGAGTTTTGCATTTTGCATTTTGGGAATAGTACAAAATGAACACAACAACAGCCCAAACTGTTGTTAACATTTTGTTGTTTGCTGTTACAATAATCATTGAATTTTGTTGAATTTATAGTTATCAGCAATTAAATTGAATATTTTTTGTTTTATATATTTACATATAATTTTTAGTAAAATTGTTATTTTGTGTTGTTTCAGTTGCCTGCTCAACAGTTACGGTGACAAAATGTCAGGCGGCGCTGCGTACGCTGCAAGCGTTCCCGTTCTTCAAGCCGACGTGCCTCTGTCGGGAGCCGCACGTCGATCCCGAATGCAATTCGTTTCGGGATTTCCTCTTCGATCATCCCTGTGTGTTTGTGCTCAAAAAAGGTTAGTAGCAATCATTTTTACTATCCCACCACGCCATCTACACTCAAATAGTTGTGGTAAATGTTTTATAAAACAGCTACAATTAAATTGGTTGAATGTAATAAATCAACGCTGTTGCACTTTGTCTTATTGTGTCCGACTTCTTGTAAGTGTATGTGTGTCTGAGAACGATGCAAATGCTTTGTCAAATGACCGTTCCTCTCTCTGGCGGTGATAAATTGAACGGGATTGAGACCTCTCTCCGGACTCGATTCGCGAACTCGACTCGACTCCCGGTCTCATCCCGACTGATGCGCACTTTTCAGGCAAGACGAGTTCCTATTATGCCCGGCGGCCATCAGCGTCCGGCGTCCACTATTAGCCGCTCTGATTAATCGCCATTGCCCGATGGGGAATGAGAAACGAGGAAAAATCTCAGCAACAGACTCGCCGACTGAAATTTTTCCGACTTTTTTCTCTCGCAGGCGGAAAAAAAATCCTTTGAAGTGTAAAAATCCTAAAAAGATTATTATTTTCAGAAAAAGATCCTTATCCTGTGGACGCATTGCCCACGTGCAATCACGCACTGTCCGTCTGCCAGCAGGAGAAAAAATGTATCAAACTGTACGACGATTTCAAGTTGAATTGCAAGGTGCGAGATAACAAATGCCGAATGGAGGACAGGTAAGTGAACATAACCAATTTTAAGCACAAACCCTTTTAATCTATGAATATTTATATTGTGTCCGACAGAGGTCTCTGTCATGATTCGTGGGCGAATCTGCGACGCTCGCCGATGTTCGGCTGCATTTGCCCGAACAATCACATGAAAAAGCGTTGCGATCGCATCTTCAGCATGGTCAACCACAATCCGTGCGTTGGTAAGTACTCTCGTCTGCATCTACCCCCGCGGGCTCTACCACCCATTTCCCTATTCCATATTCCTCCATCAGACTGTGTTACGAAATTTCTTTCAGTACTACTCTAAAATTACTCTCGAATTAAACCGGATTGATCGGAAGTTAACTATTCTCTATCTACTAGTGAGCAATTAGTGCAGGTTTCACATGAATGCCATTATCACAATTAATCACTCACCATTTCGAACTAATCATTCAACATACTACATCACCTGTTATGTCATTAACCGCTAATGCTATACTGCTATATTGCACCAGATTTTAGATTTTTGCATTTTGCTCATTTTACATTTTGGCATTTTGAATGGACGTTGGTTGAGGTTATGTCCGTCACGGACGTAAACGTGTGTGCCGTGCGGTCAGTTAGGCAATTATCTACGCTCGAATCGACACGCACGAAAATTGCATTACCAGATTACTTTTTTTGGTGCAAATCTGAATTGAATCTAAACTATATATTCTGTGTATATGTTTATATTATTTTTTGTTTTCTGATGAACACACTGTATTGCACTATTATTGCACTTGGTTTGTCTTTGCACTCTCTGTTTCAGACCTCCTTCCGCTCACATCCGGCATGCTAGATGCACAAAATCACGACCGCGAGTTTTTCGAAAACTTCTGGTCCCCACCGACGAATCTCTACCCGTATTTTCTTTTTCACGATCCACAAAAGTCAAAAATTGCAGACGTCGATTCAGATTCAGATTCCGTCGCCGATTTCGAATCGGAGAAGGAATCTGAGTCCGAATCGGATGAGTTTTTCAATCCTAACCTCACTTTTGAGCACGAGCACGATCACCAGCACCAGAACGCACCCTTCAGCACTGTAAGCACCGGCTTGGGCAACGACACCGCTGGCAACGTGAACAACCCACGTCACGGTAATGATTATTTTTATTTTTACTACACCTCCATACAATCATAACCACACTCTGGCACTATTTTATATATGAATTTATATATTACTAGATTGTATTGTTTTTCTGTTTTGTTGTTCGTTGTAAATGTTTTGTGTGCGTGTTTTCATCCCCCGCCGTCGCGTAAGGTGTGTTTGCGGGTCGGAGGAAGAAGTTCGGTGGAAATGCCGGCGTCCGTCGTTCATCCGCTTGTTTTGCAGTGAAGGCTGGGGTGGTGGCCGAGGAGGGCGGTTCGGTGGCGGACCTGGGGCCGCTCGGCGACGGCGACGCGGTCGAGAATCCGCTCGTCGACGCGGCGAATGGCCGTGAGGCGCACGCCGATCACGATCGCGTCAGCGTCAGCGTGCTCAAGCACCGCGCGAGGCCCCACCACGTCGACAACCCACACACCCACAACACCAACAACAACGTCGAAGAGGACGATCTGGACCTGATCATGCCGCCCGCCCAGCATCAGAAACATCAAAGTACGTATTTGGTCTAAAAGTCAACGACAAAACGGGCAAAAATCAAAAAATAATTACCATAAACCAAAAAAACCCTTCAAAATTTCTCAACATGTGACCGTAAGTACACTCATAACCTCACTTGTCAACTATATAGATATTCAAAACATGTAAACTTATTTCGTGGTACGTTGTCACGTATCACACACGCGTTTTGACAGATTTATCTCGTTCCAACCCCGAGATTAGCTTATCACGAAGAGTGACGGCCGACTGCCCGACGCTATTCAATTGTTTATCTGGACACACGTGCGGTCGGCCATGTTTCCGAACGTGATTCCGCCGAAACATTTGCACCACATTGTAAACACCCGACAGAATAAACGTCGCCATTTTGTTTCTCATCATCTCCGTAGCCGTACATTTTACCTTTTGTAGTTTACCACTGTAAGCTGATCATGACGATATTACGTAAACCAGTTTTTAGTGCACTGTGCAGTATACTTACTAAGGTTGAGGTTATGCAGCCCCTGGCACCACCGTAGAATGCCCGCCGCCATGCCGCATGCCGACCACGTGGCCGAGAGTATACATTTTTTGGCAGTTTGACAGAAAATTGACAGCACGCAAATCGTATCATCCTCATAATCTATTTATCTCTTTCTATTTATACAAAAATATTTAAATATTGTGTGTGTGTGTTTTGTTCTCAATCAAGATGGCGCACGCAATACCAACGTTACTTTGTACATGTGTGTATTTACCAATTCCGACCGGATGTAACCAACCATTTTTGTTTGTGTATTTCTCTTGTGTATCTCTTGGTGGGGCAGTGTGCGTCACATGCCACGTGGTTTGACGTTGACGGTTTTCAGGCTCCACGGATCCGGCGAGTCGCAGTGCGAACGGCAATCACAGCACTTCCGATGGCGGCACCACCGCTGTGGCGGAGCAGTCAAAAGTGGTATTTCAAAGTACATGCCACGTGGCGATGGAGAGCTGCCAGCAGAACTACAACTGCCGCATGATGCTGGCGCCCATTTTGCACCACTGTGATATGTCACGGTGTAATCGTAATTCGTGCATGGAGGCGCTGCAAGCGTTCTACCGGAAACCGAGTTTTCCGTGGAACATTGAGATTGCGTTCTGTTTGTGTAAGAAAACAGATAATAAGCATGATACGTGCATGGTGGCGCAAGAAAAGTTACATCCGGTTTGTGCGCAGCGCATAGAGGGCGCTCCACAGCCGACATGTTTGAGTTTGGCGGAAACATGCAGGGAAAGCAAAGAATGCAGGTTAGTAAATTATAATTAATAATTTAAAACAATGTAAAACAATGGTTTTATAGAGCGCGTTTGGAACACTACGAGCAATCATGTGCTGTGGACAGTGTGACCAAAAAATGCGCAGGGTCACCTTCAGATTGTCGCATGGCAATGTTAGGTATACTTGGGACTGACCTCAGGACCACTTGTGCATGCAAGGGTACTGACATGACCCAACTTTACGAATGCCTAGGATGGCAGAGACTCCTCTGGGTCAATCCTTGTGTTGGTATGTCAAACAAATAACCTTACTTTACAGTTTTAAAATCATAATATTCTACAGTTGAGTCCCAAAAAGACTTCCACCTAAAGAAAGCAGCAAGCCTCGCACAGTTAAGTACAACCTCAACCACTCCACGAACCACCCCCCGGTTGAGAACCACCCAACGTGCTGTAATCATTCCTACGACAACTCCGGCGCGTGCGAGTTATACTCTTCCACAGCAAATTACAATGGTAGCACCGCCTGCAACTCGTCCTACGACTACCACAACGACAACCACTACAACAAAACCCACAACTACTCCAACTACTACGACGGAGTTTATCCCTCCGACTACGACGACAAAAGCTACGACGACCACGACAACAACCACTACGACCACGACGACTACGACCACGACTACCACAATGGCGACGACTACGCTTCCTCCGAGTAAGTACTCTCGGCGTATGATGGATGAGGAAATTGCTCATCAAATATTGATTGTCATTTAAATTCTCGTTACAGAGTATTGCGTTGTCCAGCGACCGCAGTTTCCTGATCAATATATTCGCGAGGGTAGTCTTCGGCGGGTGAGTTTCGAGAAGAAATTTGAGTTTTATTGTCGCATATTTCCAAATTTCCAAGAATTTCCAACCCTTCAAACACTATATTAACATTAATCAGATTATATCAACGTTGCGTGCTGTCCCACTCAGGAATGGCGACTTGCGTGTGCGTTGGCACTCGTAAAACGCTGAATTAAATTTCCAGAGCACGCGCGCTCAAGCTTCATATTTATACACTTGATATTTTCATTTAGAGAGGAAAAAACTAACATCGGACGGAATGCGGCAATAAAATAAATCATACAATATCCAACATAACCTTCAAATGACACAATGACATAATAATACATAACCTTAATCGATGACTTTTGTGTGTTTCTGGTTAGATTTACCACGAAGATGAATTCGAGTGCTCCGATGTGTGCGAATGCGAAGTCGGGGAGAAGCTAGCGTGCAAAACAATTTGCATCGATAGAATGCCATGCAAGACAGAGTTTGCATTCTACAATCATGCCGCTCCGGCATATCAAGCGTACCGCGGGCGTTGTCTGTGTTACTCGGGGCGCTTCATCTGCATGAAACCAGCGCCGAATGAGTACTCCTTACCACAGGGTGTGTTCCTATTTTTGGGTTACTCCGAAGTGGACGAGCGGGAACTCAATAAAAATCATACGAAGATTGTTATTCAGGATGTCGTCCATGCGCTGCAAGAGTTCATATTGAACGAGGCTACGAATGGGGTGAGTGGTGATTGTATTTTTGCAAATGCTCTATCATTGATTAGGGGTTGAATTGCCGGCCGTTAGATTAATTCAAATTAATTGATGGCCGGAACGAGTTTTGCGTGTGACCGAAATTAATTCAATTGAATCAACCCTTTGGTGCAAATCTTGCCGGCATAAATTCGCGCGCGCGACCGAATGTTTCCGATCGAAAAGCACACGCAGGAGGAACAATATCGAATTCGATTGTATAATTGTATAATCCGTATTAATCGCACCCCACCACAAATGGGGTGTAATTGAAACCTCGGCGATTCCGACACCCTCTCTCGCGCCAAGTTTGTGTCCCTCTCTGTGTGTGTTCGCACCGCGCGGTGATTACGCTCCATCGTTGAAGAATCAGTGGTGCGGCATTAATTAGCCGGATTTCGGGGGAGTGGTGAACTTAAGTGATTAGGACTGGTTGGCTTGTGTTTCTAACCTGAAAAAATGATTTCTACAATCTGCTCGGCCTAAATTACAGCAGATGATACCTCGAGATGAATTTTTAAATGAGTACAAAGAAAACGGAAGGATAATTGTAAAAGGGGTTGGAAACCGGAAACACGGAAAACGCACTAAATGAATGCGGTTCGCTCTTAAATTAAAAATTAAAGGCCGGCCTATTAAACTTGAGTCTTTCATTAATTAATGTGAGAGAGGAAATTTTCATTCTCCCCTCTTGCCGTAGGTACGAGTATGCGGAAGGCAATGTTCTTAAATCAAATTTTAATGCATAGTGAGATAATAACAAACTGATAAGGGAATAATATATGCATAAAATATGCATGCAACTTTTTACAGCTTTTACGTTTGCGCCGCGCGCTGCTTTCACTTGTTTTACGTCTTGCTCATGTTCGCATTTCCGGAGATAACGCTAAATGAGAAAAAGAACGCCGAGAAATCATAACAAAAGCGTTTCCGACGCGCGGTGCGTGGAATGGGGAGGGCGGAAAAGCGTTTTTCCCATTCGCGTCGGATGTAAATTTGCGCGCGTTTCCACAATTCTCGACGATATTGTACGACATTCCAGGACATTTGCTCGCTCGAAAACGTCGCTCCGGGATATATAATGATACGGCGAGCGTAGCCAACCTACCCTGATTTGATATCCGGATATCACACAAAACGCCCCCCATACACAGATACAAGCCGCAAAAAAATGTACCGCAGCAGAAAGTCGGAATAACTTAGTTTTTCCGGTGCTGGGCAGAGACGAACAAAACAGATTGTAACAAATTGTAGATTTAAGGGTTTTAGGGGATGGTATGTAAGGTTATCTTCTGATTACAGACGCTGTGCTCATTGGAATTGTTTAACACCACGAGGGAGAATGTGATTATAGCCGGAAAACTTGCGCCGGAAATAGACTACACTATGTTGTCACCAATGGAGAGTCTTTCCAAAGAGAAGGTTAGCATAACCTCAATTTCAAACCTCTAAAGGTAAAGTATGTGTTTTTGTTTTTTCGATTTATAGGAAGAATGCGCTGAATTATTGGAAATAATCAGCGAGCGAATCAATGGACGGCATCCGGACTTTGCATCGCATCTGCTCCTCTCCGTGTTCAAAATGGCGGAGGTGGAGATCGTGCAGATTGAAGCAAGTTCGACGAATGCCCGAGTGTGCCCGGCACACATCGCCGTCTACATGGCGATAGCTGCACTACTCGCCGCGCAAGTGCCGCATTCGTGACAATAGTGCAATTAACTCAATTAACGGACAGACTAGGTTAGAGGACAGTTGCGCCATCTGGTGAGTGAGAGCGCTGCGCGCACTCTCCAACTTTTGTCAACAAGAAGCAATTTAATGACTTGAAAGCAACCAACAAACAAACAAACAAAAGCAACATGATACATATCAGTCACGTCAGCCACTTTTTAGACGACTCTTATATTGAAACTTATAAAAACTTATTATACATGAAGATTTTAAGGGCAACACAAGTATTTGTTTGTTGTGCATAGTGACAAGTGGAGTTTTAGTTCACTAGTTGATTGTTACCGGTTTAGATAAAGACGATAGACATAACCTAGTTGTAAGGCTAACACGTAGACATAGAGGAGGTTTAGGTTAGCGCAGATAACGAAAATAAACAAAATAACAAAAAAAGTCCACGAAATGTCCAAGAAATCGCGTGTTATTTTCTAAGCGTTAGTCATAATTGTTAGCAGAATGTGTTGGAAGAGAAGAAGATGAAGAGGGATATTTTTAATGCTGTAAATAATTGGGAGTGATGTGATTATTATTGATCACAGAGGACAACCTACTACATATCAGTGTTGACTGTTTTAAAACAATGACTTAAGTTAGGTTAACCTAGTTTACAATAAGCAGGTTAGTTTAAGGTTAAGTTAGGTTATGTACATACAACAACCTCACGTTTATTTGATGCTTTGCACATTTTGAAACACTAAACACACGAAATACATCAATTTTAGATATTGCTAAGTTTAGATTAAAAAAGAAAAACAAAAATAATGAAATTATAAAGTGCTCAGCTTTCGTAACTTGTAAGTCTATAAAGTCTAAAACTTATTATAAACCTAACCACTGAGGTTATGTCTGACTGGTATGAATGGTTAACAAAATTGTTTTTCGTGTGTAGTTTTTGACCGTTATTAGATGCTAGTCGCGTGAATGTGTCGTACAATCTGAATAAGTCTTCCCACGTAACAAATTAACCATATCAGAATGTTTCTTACCGTAAAATTAGCGAATTTTCGGCGGTTGCCGACCATTTTTTATGACGAGTGAGTAATGGTTTGATTTTGATCATTAGAAACAAAAACGACACTTTAAGAGTTTAACATACCGACAGGAGCTCATAAAACGAGTGTTTTATTGCGTGAGCCGGTGAGATAATAAAAAGTCTCGGCGCGGTGTTGAGCCTAAGACGATAATCCAAAGTTGAGAGGGTGAAAGTTGAAAGGTCTGCATGAACAGATTGTTTTACGTCACGCTTGACTCAACATTTCGACCAGTTTACGACGCGTGATAAAATCGACGTGATTTTTTTTATTTTCAAAAATCGACCGGAAATGAATTTTACGGTTATGAATGTAGGTTATGTTAATTTAAAGTTTTGTTTTCGCTTTCCGTAGGTCATAAAAAAAGAACGCAGAGAGAAAAACGCGAATGCTAATGCGAAGGGTTAAGTGACTTCTGGTTCGATGCTTGGTGCAGATATAAAATCTGTAGGAACTTTCGGAAGGTAGTTTTAAAAGAGACATGAATCACGACGACAGATAGGATACTTTTTGTTAAACCACCCTAAGACCAGCCCTAAGAAACGTTTGGGTTTTAGAGCCGTAGGCTAAAAAAGAGCGAAGAATAGGATGAAAAAGGATGTACGAAGGGGAACAAATGCCTGATGGCCCAAATAACCATTAAGCAAACTACTTTTGTCAGGCCTAAAGGCAAAGACAGCGTTTTTTATCTCGCCAACCTCAAACACAAGAAGCGCCTCGGACAAAAAACAATTGAAAGTCAATATAAATAGAACAATGACGAATCATGTTTTGAATATAAAAAGAGCGCTTTTTGTGTTCGGTAATCTCTTAGTCCCACTTAGCTTCCACGCGTTTCCGGCTCAATCAAGAAAGTTGCAGTCAATGCCAACATGGCTACTCAGTATATTACGAACGTAGGAAGAATTACGCGAAGCAATTTAAGCGAACGCTCCGAAAAGTCAAGTTAGTTTCCCCTTTTCCGTGCGCACATCTAACGCGAACGTTTTTCTCGGCGATTTTTCGTTCGTCTGTTGCGCGCCGCACGTTTTCGTGGTTAATTCTTCGCGGCGCGAAATTGGACGAAGATGAATGTCTGACGTCAGCAAACAAACGACGATCGCGCTGCACGCGCAACAAGATGGATACCACACGCGCGCGCAAATAAAGATTACAAAGATTACGCCGAGATAACCGAGATTACCGCGCTTAAGAAAATTGCGAATCTTTTTAGTTAATCAAATATCAGGCGATTACTCACTCGAACGACAGATTAAACTGAAACACCTACGACGAAAAAAAGTGCATATCATGTAACGAGCGCCATTTTAATATTACAGTGTTGTTTGTTTTTTCCTCGAACGTTTTGGGTTTTTATTAGGACGTGGCAAACTTTAAGCGGTTGCGTTTTATAGTGTAAATTTCGATTTGAAAACTTAACACGAAATGAAGAAACAGACGCTTTTTAGATAAATAACGAATAACATGGCGAGTTTCTCGTCGTGTTGAAAAACGTAGATAACTTCCCACACGGCTGCCTCTGAACACCGCACAACATACTGTAAAACACGCGAAACTTGCAGAAGAAGAAAAATACTGAACTTTCAATGGCACAACAAGTTTACATTCACTGTATGTAACACACATTGCACACAAAGCTATCAGCTATTACGGTTTATTATAGGCCACCCAAATGACAGCGTAGGTAACATTTTGTTTATGAAACAATTTCGAAACAAATTCGACTGAACTGAAGTAAATAAACATATCGTTCATTGTTATTACATTAATACATAAAGTATAAATATTATATATAAATAAATATAATATATAAATAACACAAGAATTTAGTTTCTAAGTAAATAAGTAATACAATTAACACAACCTGATCTTGAATTGAGGTTATGTATGTTGTATAGGTTATGTATAGTCAATATAATGTAAAATGTATAGCTGATTACTGCAAGAATAAGAACTGTAACATAACGTACGACGCACCTAATGATAAACAAAAGACATTCAATGAAGCAATGTCCAGCTGTCAAACTTTTTGACGGTTGACAGATTGTATCCGATGCTATGCCAGAATATAAACATACGCAATTATAAGCGATAAAGACATTTAAGTAGCACAAACTCTTTCTAACCTAAACATCTAACACACTTCTCTAACAAAAATAATAATAAAAAACAACTAACAAACCAAAACAAAGATTAAATGATTAAACTAACTTAACAGCAGTGGAATGTGGCGTGTCATTAAATGGCGTATGAATTGAGGGAACTCTAGCCCGTAGTTTTTTATAGGACGAACCTTGTTATTGATTTGTTGGTTGAATGATATATGAGAAATTTTAAGATTTGTAAAATTTGGAGCGATTGCGAGATGAAGTGTAAGAACTGACAACAAATCATAGATTATTTTTTATTGATTTATTCGAACTCGTAATTAATGTCACCAACCACATTGTATATTCTTAGTTTGCTGATCAAATATAGCTGTGTGTTATTGACTTAAAGTACGTACTAAAGTACTCTACTCCGATTGCATAGACACGTTTTGGTTGGGTTTTCTGCTAATGTATTTAATTACGATGACTATTAACTGCTACACCTAATGATATTGATACTGAAGGAATAGACAACGGATGAATGTGCAATAATTGGGGTAAATGATGAAAATGATGATATAAACTGTTAAGAATGTTGAGGATAACATACTCATTGAATAAAAAATCATGAACTAATGAAAATTATGAAATATGAAATATGAGAAAATTATAAATAAATAAATTGTTATAAATCTGAAGAAACGCGAGGCCTTGTTTTTTGATAAGCGACGTGCTGTGAGCGCAGCACAAGGTTGCGCAGTGGTGTTATGAGTTATGTGCAATGCGCATGAACCTACTGCTCAGTTTGTTGTTGACCGCTGTGGTGTAAACACGTACACGTTTCTCGCGAATTGTGATGTTTTATCGGTAACTCAAAATGTGTTTGGTAATAAATCGGTGGAATATAGTGACAATAGACATGTTTGATGTCTTGCAGACAATTTATCGCAAGTGGAGTGTTCGTAATACTCATAATGAACATGGTTTCGCGTGTTTGCAAAAGTGGGTTCAGGTTTCACTGATTTGTCCATGCAGCATAGAGATTACAGAACGCTGAACTTATAGGCAGGTCGGGAATGAATTATAGGCCTGGCGGGACTGGAAGAGGCGCCACTCTTGCATCATATTGTAAGTATTCCTTTCCTTTATGATATTCATGACTTAGTTATGAGATTTTCATACGGGGAAGCCATTAAAATGGCATTTTTGTGTTTCGAGGCACTTATTTTTGTTTTTTTAGAGCTCTTGAAATTAAATAAGACCTTGCAGGGGAGCTATCTTTGCATTAACTTATGAGTATTGCAATTCTTTATTATATTAATGAGTTACTTTTGAAATTTTTGCATACGGGAGCCATAAAATGACATTTTTGTGTTTCGAGGCACTAATTTTTATTTGTTTTAGGGCTCCAGAAATTGAATGGGACATCGTAGGGAAGCCATTCTTGCATCAAATTGTGAGTATTACAATTCTTTATTATATTATTGACTTAGTTTTGAGATTTTTGCATGCGGGCACCAAAAAAATTACATTTTTGTGTTTTGAGGCCCTGATTATTGTTTGTTTTAGGGCCTTAGAAATTGAATGGGACCTTGTAGGGGCACCATTTTTGCATCAAATTGTGAATATTGGAATTCTTTATTATATTAATCACTTAGATTTGAGATTTTTGCACACGGGAGCCAAAAAAATTGCACTTTTGTGATTTGAGGCACTGATTTTTGTTGTTTTTGGGCTCTAGGTATGGAATGGAAGCTTGCAGAGGAGCCATTCTTGCTTCAAATTGTGAGTAATGCAATTATTTATTATAATAATGACGTAGTTTTGCGATTTTTGCTCGCGGAAGCACAAAAAATGATAATTTTATGTTTCGAGGCTCTAATTTTGCATGTTTTGGGGCTCTAGAAATTGAATGGAAACCCACAGGACAGCCATTCTTGCATTAAATTGTAAGTATTACAATTATTAATTATATTAATCACTTAGTTTTACCGATTTTGCTCGGGGAAGCCCAAAAAAGTCATTTTTGGTGTTTTGAAGCACTCATATTTGTTTGTTTTAGGGCTCTAGAAATTGAACAAGACCTTACAGGAGAGTCATTCTTACATCAAACTGTAAGTATTTTAATTCTTTATTATATTCATAACTTAGTTTTGTAATTTTCGCATGCGGAAGCCATAAAAATTGAATTTTTGTGTTTTGAGGCACTGATTTTGGTTTGTTTTGAGGCTGTAGAAATTAAAAGGGACCTCATAGGGGTGCCATTTATATTTTAAAGCTTTAATATTGCAATTTTTCATTGTATTAATGACTTAGTTTTGTGCTTTACATGCACCGAAAGTATAAATGAGGTATTTTTCTAATTTAAGTAATTAAATTTGATAGGGTTTGAGCGTGCATGTGATAAGTAACAGCGACACATCAAAATGAGGCAATTAAAATCTTTTCCACTCTAATTCCAATTTTGTTTAATTTTTAAATAAAATGATATTTGAATTTAAATGTTAATAGCTGTATTATAGCTTCCTGTAACTTAAATAGCGATAGTCAGTGCACCCGAAACTAGAGGGCGCTAGTGTACGCAACTTTTGCTATTCATGTTAATTGGTTTGAACTTCCACACCTAGATGGCGCTCGTGTCGCCGTAATTTGCTGTTGCTATCAATTCGTTCACCTGTTTAGTCTGGTTTGCGCCGCGGAGCAGTTCGCGTGTTTACTTCAACTCCTCGACGGTTAAATTTATTTCATTGTTTTTATGTGTTTTGAGAACTTTCATTTAACGCATGCATAAGCGAAAATGGTATATTCATCTGAGTTCCTACGGCAACCGGCACCTGGATATTTTCTTCCAACGTTTTCTTTGCTGTGAACACGATGCGCTGCGATGTCTGGTACACGCGTTTTTAATCATTTGTTTTGCTTCATCCGATCTTCCGCATGGCATGGCATTTTTCATCGCGAAACCACCAATTGCCATTTTAATTCCTGAGGGCGCATCAGTCGTGGAAATAACTAATTCAGAAGTTTGCTAAGTGAAATGTAATAGAACTAGTATTAGCATGAACTGGATTTTAACCAACAACTTTAAACATTTGCGTTCAGGTTAGTATTTGTGTCATTTGATTTTTTTGGTCAGTAGAACACCTTTTAATATTATGTCATATTGAACTTTTTATAATTTTACAGTTACATTTTTTTATTCTAATAAATGAGTTCCAACCGGAAAACAAAATTTGAGTGTATGTTATTGCTTTTATTTATCCCTCGTGTTTATTCTGTCGTTTTCAGATGTACTTTTAAGTCACGTTTGATTTCATGTGGTTACAAGCACAGGTGGGTTTGAAGCATGTATTTTTAAAATGATATAGATATATAGAAGAAACAAATTCGATAAGTAATAAACACTCGGTGGTCGAGTGGTACATGCATATGTTAGCATGCTCGAGGTCCTCGGATCGAATCCCAGGTCGGGCATTTTTCTAAAAAATAGAAATAAATCCGAGTAATGTTGGTTGCATATGTAAATCATAAATGTAAATACGAAGTTCAAGTATGAAATTAAGAAGAAGTGTAAGTCAGGAGCGAAGAGAATGGGGAGCAATAAGAAATAACATAGAAGCAGCAGGAACAGAGAAGAAGAAGAAAGGAGGACGAGTAGAGAGAGCAGGGAAGGAGCCACTCCGAACAGGGGTGGCCGGATTTTAAATTTTTGGCACGTGTCGTTATAAGACAGTCTACGGCCCACTGCTTTGATGCGTCCATTGCTCCCGGCCCATCCTACAGCTACGATGTCTCTGCGCTTCATCCCCGGAATTATCAGGCATATCAACAATTTTTATGGTGGGGGATCACCCGCAGAGAGAGGGAACTCCTTATAAGGACATCCTTTTAAGGACTTGTAAAAATATTTCTAATTTTTAAGTCGCCTCAAGAGAGGGGACACTTAAAAATATTCTTACAAGTTCCGACCTGTACCTGAAATGAAAGAAGGAGTACACAAATCATACAGGTTACCTTAACAATTTTTATAGAGGGGATCATCCCCTGAGAGAGGGAACTCTTCCTGCAATGATAGAAGATGTACATACAAATCAAAGAAGACAATATATCTTACAATTTCTTTATTAACAATAGAATACAAGTCAACAGAGTACATGTCACCATATTGAAATAGGACACTTAGAAATATTCTAACAAATTCTGACCTGTACCTGAAATGATAGAAGGGGTACACGCATATCATAAGAGGCACAGTCACTTTTAACATTTCTTTATTGAAACATGTATACAATGAAAACCTGGAATATATAATACTAAACAATATATACGCCGCCATTTTGAATCTAGTTATACGAGCAGTATAGCCCCAAATATGCAGACAAGTACCAAGAATAAAACAATAACAATGAAAAACATAATACTAACAAATTTTGTGTTCCAAAAACAATAAAATAACTTTTTTGCAGAAAATGAAAGTTGAAAATGGGGAAATATATATCTACAACCACAGTCAAAGTAAAATCAAAGGAAATGAATATACAGGGTAATACAAAAAGAAAACTACAATATTTTAAAAGAAAATCCTAAGTTTAAATGGGAAGATGTTTATCTCTCTCACCTTTGACAAACCCACTACGGGAAATTATAATACAAGGTGATGCAAAAAGAAAACTACAATATTTTAAAAGAAAATTCTAAGGTTAAGTAGGATAACATATATCTTTCCCATTTTGACAAATTCACCACGGGAAATTAGTATACAGGGTGTTACAAAAAGAAAACCCTCAGTTTTAAAAGTAAAACGCCCAAATATAAATTTTATTATATTAAATGATAAGGAAAATATAACTACTGGGTGATACACAAAGATAAATTAAGATTTAAGTAGGAAAGCGGATGGAAACAATTAACAAGGCGACAATAACAAGATAATATAAGAAGAAAACTATAGGAATTTAAATAAAATCAAAATGTTTGCAACGGAAATCAAAGAAAAGTAAAAGAGGAACAAAACATAACAATAGAACATTTTAATCGTATAAAACAAGTGGCGACCAGCCCGGACAGCCGCCAGAAGATAAAGAACGTAGCGGACGGCAATTTTAATCTCTTTAATTTGTGCGATAAACGAAATGAAACAATGTATTGAATTCGTAATGCAAATCAACGATAGGAGTAAAGTAAAAACAAGTAAAGTCAATAACTGATTTGATTTGCATATGCCTGATGAAATGCGAAAACATACCTTGATGCAAAATAAATTTTTGCGTTTTGTCATATCCAGGACCTTAATTATTCACATTATAGGAATGATGAAATACGCGTATAAAACAAAATAGTATCCGACGGCCGACGGAACATCACTCACGCTTTACCTCTACGTATGTACAATCAGCGTATAACGAACGCTGCACATCACTCCCGCACAATCGCGAAAAAGCATAGAAATATTACGTAACAATACGAGGATAAATTAAGGAACTCAAGAATAATGAAGAAAATGTGCGTGCACAACTCCTGACGACAAAAATGGGACTAACGTGGTAAACAAGGTACAACGTGGTACACAAAAATTGCACGAGATAAGACTTGTTTGTTTGTAAACAGTGGTACTTTTAATTTCGATTAAATTCTGAATCGGAAGCAAGTAACACAATTTAAATATTAAATATTAAAGCCCTATTGGCATGTATTAACAATTTTTTTTAATTAAAATTGCAAATAAAGTTTAACGATCAATGTAAATTCCATAACGCGAATTATATTGATAGTTGTGTGTATACGCACTTGTACTCGTTGCGCTAGGAATTGTAGTTTTTTTATTATAACACGCGAACGCGGCCTTACTCTAAGTTCGGAATAATATTGTTAGATGCGGAATTTAATTCTGTATCTGCCTGTATCAAAATATATTGCAGGAAAATTCCGTAACGCAAGTTATATTGATAGTTGTCTGTATACGCACTTGTACTCGTCGCGCCAGGAATTGTAGTTTTTTTATTATAACACCCGAACGCGGTCTTACTCTAAGTTCGGAATAATATTGTTAGATGCGGAATTTAATTCTGTATCTCCCTGTATCAAACTTTATTGCAAGAAATTTTTTATAAATATAAAAATATTTATTGATTAAATAATTATACGCAACTCGTGATTTTTTTTTATAAATATAAAATATTTATTGATTTACAGTGTTTTTTGGATTTTTTGAGTTTGACATGTTTCGCCCAGAGGGCATCTTCATAAACTGACTTTAGTAGGTTTGTTAGGGGTGTTTTGTGTGTCAAGTGTTTGTGTTATTGTGTGTTATCGTGCTTGTGGGAATGTGTAGTTTGTTAAGTGGTTTAAAAATTGTGTCGTGTATTGAGTGTGTCTGTTCGTTTAGTAATTGGTGTTTGATTTTGTGTTTGTATATCTGTATGTGTTCTTTAATGTTTAAAAATTTATCTGTGGATGATTTTAATATTGTAAGTGTATTGTCTATTGTGTTGTGTTGGTGATTGTGTTGTAAGATGTGTTTTGCATAGTGTGAGTGGTATGTTTGTGGATTTTTTATTGCGTTTGTGTGTTCTTGGTATCTGATTTTCATGTTTCTGTTAGTTTTCCCTATATATATTCTATTGCATGTGTTACAAGTGATTTTATAGATGCCGCTGTTATTGTATTTGTTTGTGTTTAGTGTTGTGTGCGTTTGTAGTTTGTTGAATAGTTTTTGATTTGTTTTATAGGCAATTCTATGGTTTTTGAATATTTTTGTGATGTTATATGTATCTTTGTCTATGTAGTGGAATGTATGGAATTTGGTGGTTGTGTTTGTGTTGTCTATGGTTGTGTTTGTGTTGTGTTTTGTTGTGGATTTGTTGTGATTTTGTTTTATGATTTTATTGTATATTTTGTTTACGTGCGTTTGTGTGTATCCGTTTTCTATTGCTATTTTAATTATTTTATTGTATTCAATGTTGTATTTAATTTCGTCTAGTGGTGTGTTTATTAATCTGTTGAAACTGAATCTAAAGAAGGCATTTTTGTGTTGTAGTGGATGATGTGATGTGGTGTGGATTATGTTGTTTGTATCTGTGGGTTTTCTGTAAATGTTAAAATCGAATTTTGTTTTGTGTTTTGTTATGTTTATGTCTAAAAAGTTAATGCAGTTATTTTGTTCTGTTTCAGTGGTAAATGTTAGGTTGTTATGTGTGTTGTTGATTATGTTTTGTATATCTATTATATTATGTTGTTCGTGTATGATAAATAAGATGTCGTCTACGTATCTGTACCATTGAAAATGTGTGTATTTTTGTTTTATGTTTCTAATTATTGTTTCTTCTATTGTCTGTAGAAAAATTTCGCTAATGAAACCTGATATGGGGGATCCCATGGTGACCCCCGTGTTTGTGGTGTATATGTTGTTGTTAAATGAGCAATAGTTTTGTTTTAGTATTTGTGTTAATGCGTTTGTATAGTATTTTATGTGTGTTGTATCTGTGTTTGATTCTATCATTTTTTTAGATTCAGTTTCAACAGATTAATAAACACACCACTAGACGAAATTAAATACAACATTGAATACAATAAAATAATTAAAATAGCAATAGAAAACGGATACACACAAACGCACGTAAACAAAATATACAATAAAATCATAAAACAAAATCACAACAAATCCACAACAAAACACAACACAAACACAACCATAGACAACACAAACACAACCACCAAATTCCATACATTCCACTACATAGACAAAGATACATATAACATCACAAAATATTCAAAAACCATAGAATTGCCTATAAAACAAATCAAAAACTATTCAACAAACTACAAACGCACACAACACTAAACACAAACAAATACAATAACAGCGGCATCTATAAAATCACTTGTAACACATGCAATAGAATATATATAGGGAAAACTAACAGAAACATGAAAATCAGATACCAAGAACACACAAACGCAATAAAAAATCCACAAACATACCACTCACACTATGCAAAACACATCTTACAACACAATCACCAACACAACACAATAGACAATACACTTACAATATTAAAATCATCCACAGATAAATTTTTAAACATTAAAGAACACATACAGATATACAAACACAAAATCAAACACCAATTACTAAACGAACAGACACACTCAATACACGACACAATTTTTAAACCACTTAACAAACTACACATTCCCACAAGCACGATAACACACAATAACACAAACACTTGACACACAAAACACCCCTAACAAACCTACTAAAGTCAGTTTATGAAGATGCCCTCTGGGCGAAACATGTCAAACTCAACAAAAACCTGTAAATCCAAAAAATCACGTTGTAATTTTAATCAATAAATATTTTTATATTTATAAAAAATAACATGGATTACGTATTCACCAAAGAAAGTAATAAATATAGTTTTTTATTATAACACGCGAACGCGGTCTTACTTTAATTCGGAATAATTTTCTTAGATGTGGAATTTAATGAGCTACCCGAATTTCAAAGAATGACAATTTATCAATTAGCGCCACGTTAGTTTTCAGCGACAGCGTATAATTTCACAAACACTAATTTTGTTAATTGTTTAATTGAGAATTTTGTAAATTTGGTACAATTTTTATGTTAAACTTGGATTTATAAATTGAAATGTAACATTGTATGTGTCCGTGCAATACTCGTCGGTGTGAACTGCAGCACGATAAGATGTGTTTACATTCGCTTGTAGCCAAGAATTTGTTATCTTTACACTGTTTGTAAACTCTGTATTTATTTGCAACCCGACGGGAACATAAATTACGCGAGCATGCTATAACTGACTAATTCTACACGTATAATTTATATAAAAATTATAAATTAATTACTTACATGTGTAAACGGAGTAGCCAACATCGCAAATGAAAGGCGACTACTGAAATAGGAAAAAAAACATTAATTAAATTTTAGATATTGCATCAGTACATGCATGAACACGTTGACAATACTGCTGTGTATTGATATAAATTAGTTTTCACAATTGAAGATGCTTACTTTGATCAGCAATGTACAACATCCGAACGGATGATGTCCGTCGGCCGACAGCAACTCACATGTCCATAACACTCCTGTACATTAACAAACATTTAATTGTGTAAAATCACTGGTGTAAAGAAATTACAAAACACTAAATGCACCCGCGTACACCATACGCTGTTTATTGTTAATTGAATATAATGCGAATAACCAAAACGTGATGACTCTGCAAAACATGCAGCCCGACGGAAAGACTAGGTACAACTAGTCATACTTTAACAAAAATAATGTGAACAAACGGTACACCAACCGCCATCTCACGGAAACCACTGCACGCAAGATCCGCAGGTATACAAACCGGTGATAAGGCGATAAGACTGAAAGGCAAGCACGCTTGAACCGAAACATCACCGCAACTATGACATGCTATGACATGCGAATACAATATAAAAAGTTGTTCACACCAAACAAAGATAGCAGTGTAGAGTTAAAAATGAAAACAAAAATTATGAAACTAAGAATTATTAAAAACTTACAATAAGAAATCAAAATTGTCTGCAATGCTTCTAACAAATAAAAATACATGAAAACCAATCACCATCAACAAAATAAGAGGAAAATGCAAAATTTGACACTTTCATAAAGATGCAAAAATCAAAATTTTTAAGAAAACAAATAAATTATCAAGAGATAACCGAGTTTCAAAAGATGACAATTTATCAATTAACTCCACGTTAATTTTAAACGAGAGCGTATAATAATAGAAACATTAATTTTGTTAATTGTTTAATTATAAATTTTGTAAATTGCAATTAACTGAGAATAATAATGAGATATCAATATAGAAAAATCATTTACAAGGGTAAATTATTTCAATATAGAAATGTTGTGAATATACAATTTTTATATACTTGGATTTATAAATTGAAATGTAAAATTTACTTGTATGTGTCCGTGCAACACTCGTTGGTGTGAACTGCAGCGCGATAAGAAGTGTTTACATTCGCTAGCAGCCAAGAATTTGTTATCTTTACACTGTTTGTAAACTCTGAATTTATTTGCAACCCGACGGTAACATGAATTACGCGAGCTGATGCGTAAAATTTGTATGAAAATAATAAATTAATTACTTACCAGTGTAGTCTGTGTATCTTACACCGCCAATGTAAGGCGACCACTGAAACAAGAAAAAATAACATTAATTAAATTTCAGATATTGCATCAGTACATGTATAAACACGTTGGCAATACTGCTGTGCATTGATATAAATTAGTTTTTACAATTGAAGATGCTTACTTTGATCAGCAATGAACAAAATCCGACGGATGATGTCCGTCGGCCGACGGCAACTCACATGTCCATAACACCTACTCCTGTACGTTAACACACACTTAATTATGTAAAACACTATTCACTGGTGTAAAGAAAATATAAAACACTAAATGCACCCGCGTATACTACGCGTACGCTGTTTATTGTTAATTGAATATAACACGATTTACCGAAACGTGGTAACTCTGCAAAACGTGCAGCCCGACGGAAAGACCAGGTACAACTAGTTGTTGTAGTTAACAACAACTATATGAACAAACGGTACACCAAGTGCCATCTCACGGCTATCGATACTCGCAAGACTCGCAGGTATACAAACCGGTGATAAGGCGATACAAAAAGGCAAGCACGCTTGAACCGAAACATCACCGTAACTACGGCATGTTGTCGAATACAAAGTTGAATAAAAAGTTGTTCACACCAAACATTGATAGCAGTGTAGAGTTAAAAATGAAAATAAAAATTATAAAACCAAGAAACGAAAAATTTACAATAAGAATTCAAAATTGTCTACAATGTTTGCAACAAATAAAAATATTTGAAAATAAATCACCGTCAACAAAATAAAACCAATTTACGCAATTTAGATTGCATAGACTTGTACAATTTTTCATATGATTTCAATGCAACAAATGAAAAAAAATGTGGAACGCTTCACGATTTTGCGTGTCATCCTTGCGCAGGGGCCATGCTAATCTTCTCTGTATCGTTCCAATTTTAGTATATGTACCGCCGAAGCGAGTACATTTGTTGTATCTAACATACTAGCTTATATACCTAAATTGAATAACATTTAATACAGAGAAATATTAATGGTTATTTTTAATTTACTATTAACATGCTTCAAAATTCGTATATTTTTATCTACACACAGACTTCAAATAACATTTTAGATTTTTCAAGCATATTAAAGTTTTAAATTAATACTTCTTAAGATAGAAATAATTAAATAAAGTAAATTATGACAAAATATAATATAAAACGAGCTAGGTAGCGACATCTGATGTCAAAGTTCCATAACTATATGTTTAGTAGGTATGCAAACCAAAATACATCCAAAATGTTTTACTACACGGATAGAGGGCGCAAGGTAAGTAATCATAAAATGTTAACTAAGGTCGACGAAAAGAATAACAGACACATTTAACTAAAATTAAAGACCGCCTTAATGAATATATTTGTTATAAAAAAACAAGTTTATCAATACGTTTAAATATATTGAATTCATTTATTTTTCTACAAATTACTTCTTGGCCGCCTTCTTATCCTTACCGCCTGCCTTTGTCACATCATCGGGATTCTCGGTCGCGTCCTTAATGCGCTTGGCGCGGATTCCAACAAGGCGTGCATCAGCGCGGGCCTAAAATTAAAATTAAACAAATTAATAAACAAAATTTAGCTGCAAACTTCTATAGTTTACCTTTCTGATAGTGAGGAATGGGCTGAATTTCTTCTCTTCCTCAGTGGGCACGCGCGCCTTAACCCTGAGAGCAGGGTGGCGACGGATCGGCAGCACCTCAGTCATGAGCTGAGAAGCGACCTTGCGTTTCTCCTCATCAGCTTCCAGAGGCCTCAATTTCTTGTTGCCCTTAGGGAACAGGATCAACTTAGCCTTGTATTCCTTAAGACGCTGAGTGTTGACGAGCGTAGACTCGACGGATTTGTTGCGGCGACGTACATCAACAGCGATGCCAATAGTGCGAGCGAACGCAGCGTTTAAACCTGCAGCCTAAAAGAATCAAACAAATTAATATCACATAACCTAAAACCAATCTAGTTTTCAATTTACCTTAAGCTCTTGCAAAGTGAAACCACGTCCAGCACGGACTTTGGTGTGATATCTGACAGTGGGGCACCTGACCACAGGGCGCAGGGGACCTGCAGCGGGCCTTGGTGCAATATCGCGCGCCTTCTTCACGCGGTTTTGTTTCCTCCTGAACTTACGCGCTGGCTGGTTGAACCAGGTCTTGACGAAGCGTTGCCAATCCTTATGGAAATGGCCATTCGGAATCATATTATTACCCTTACCCATCTTGAAGGCTGTAACATAAATTCAAATTGTTAGCACCGGGTAGTTTGAGTATATTGCCTCCATGATAGAACATAAACAAAGCCGACTAGGTCGGTTGTAAAGTCTAAGTTTTGACGGAAATTCCGCGCTTGGATGGAAAATATCGTGCCCAACGGATAGTCGCACTATTTAATTAACATTTCCACAGCATACTTAGTTTAATTTATCGATGATTGCAGTAATAATCGTAGATTTTAGCACGAAAAACTAACCTTTTTATGTGGACACCACACGTTTCGCGACTGAAAGAGAGAGATCACCGCGCGCACGCGCAAGTTTGACGTTTCTCCAGCGCATGTAAACGAACGCGGCGAAAGTAACCGAAGTTTAGGTGTATGTTGGATTGCCTATTATAAAATGTACAAAATTTTAAAATTTTCAGAAATATAAGTTTCAAATAATAAATATTAGTAATTATTAGTAATGCTAAAACTTTTAAAATAAAATTAGATTCAACCAGGATAGGTTACAATAAAATGTAAAAATTAGGCCACTGCATATTTTACGTGCGCATGTTGTAATGGCCGACAATGTTTGTGTACATTCAAAACAAAATATCGTAGATAATTGTTAATTATTAAACTAATAAGTTAAACGAACAATGGCAAATCCTGTAAATCTTCGTAAATTAGTACTAGGTGGACGTGGACCAAAAAGGTACGCAAGTATAATTTAAAAACGCATAGAAATCTAATTTTTAATAATATAACCTCGAATTTTATAGTTATCAAAAGAATGCTCCTGATTTCACTCCAATAAAGTGGACTAAATACTTTGAATCAGCAGATACTGTGAATATAGATGGTAATAAGTTCCACTACTACCTTAAGGGTAATCAGGGACCTGTTTTAGTCACCATACATGGTGGTGGCTATAGTGCATTATCATGGGCATTATTTTCAGTAAGTAAAAACAAATTAATAAACTAAAAAATAACAGAATTTATGAATATTTTATGTCTAACAGGAAGAAGTTACTGATAAGGTGCAATGTCGTATACTTTCAATAGATCTAAGAGGTCATGGCAACACTTTTACTACCAATGATGAGGATTTATCATTGGCACAATTAGCTAAGTATGACTTTTTAAGAAAAAAAGAGTATAACTCATAAAGTAACACTTATTTTATGATTTTTAGTGATGTTGCAAATGTGGTAAACACAGTATTAAAACAAGAGTCCCCTCAAGTAATCCTCATCGGTCATAGTCTCGGCGGAGCTGTCGTCGTGGAAGCAGCTCCTTTAGTAGAAAACTTAATAGGAGTATGTGTAATTGATGTAGTTGAGGGTACAGCCCTTGAATCTCTGGCTAGTATGCAAAGCATTTTACGTGGAAGACCCTCGACCTTTGCAAGCATCGGACACGCGATACAATGGGGTTTCAAAGGTGGATCTACGCACAATATCGATGCAGCAAAAGTATCCATGCCAGGACAAATAAAATGGTAGATATTTACATGTAATTAAATATAATTACACAATAAAATAATTGTTTTAGTCTTAAAACAGGTAAAATCGCCTCACAAATCGTTTATGAAACACCTGATGATGATTTATCAACGTTAAACTTGGTTGAGACTAATTCTGCAACGCGTGTAAAGCCACAAATATTAAACGTACAAGCTATATCAGAAGATGCCGAGGAAGACAGTGATTCCAATCAGAGTTCAAGCCGAGATTTGCCACCATTACCACCTTCTGCGAGTTTTAAAATGCCTGGTAAACCAGAACCCAAGTTTGGATGGCGTATTGATTTGGGTAAAACCGAAACGTTTTGGTCTGGATGGTTTAAGGGACTTTCCGATAAGTTTTTGAACATTCCCGAACCAAAAATACTCTTACTTGCGAATATACACGGGTTGGATACGCGTTTGACCGTAGGGCAAATGCAAGGTAAATTTACATGACTTTAAGTAAAAAATATTTTAATTTTCTTTAATTTTTAGGACGATTTCAAATGCAAGTTCTTCCAAAATCAGGCCATGCTATCCACGAAGATCAACCCGGTAAAGTAGCGGATATTTTGAGTACGTTTTTAGTAAGACAAAAATTAGCAGAACCCGCCTCAGGATACATGCCTACTCTACCCGGATGTTAATTTTAATGTATTTTAAGCATGTAATATTGACATGATATTAGTTAAATGCTCAAAATATTTATAAAACAAACTGTTTTGGATAATTTTTAAGTTAATTGTTGGTTTAATTATCTAGTTTTGTAAATATCCTCAGAATTTGATTTGGATTTTTAATTTTTAATTTATTTCTGATTTGCTTGAACTTAGTTTTGTTTTGCTTAATTTCTGTTCGCGTTTGATAATATTGAGTGAAATTCTTGGAGCATTTGAACAAATGTATATTTGGCATGTATATTAAAATAAAATCAACAATAAATAGCAACAGTTTGTGAAAGAGAGCCTACTCTAACAGGAACAGTCCAAAAATCTCTTATATTTTAATAAATAGTTGATTTGTTAGGTTAATTATGTACGTTAAATGTCATTTTTAAGATTATGTCATGATTACTTTTAAAATTTAAACTTGCAACGCGTGAATATAATTATAAAGTTAATGTAAATGTTAAATAACTTACGTTTTGCATTGACATGATTGTGCTGCTTAGAGAAACTTCATTTTAGAACCGCGCGCTTAAACAACAATCAAAAATATTGCAACATGTCAACAACTATTGTTAGTTTTTAGAAGAAATAATTTTCTTACGTTTTACTTATTTTAGCCCGTGAATTAATGATTGGAAGATTAAAATACATACGTGAAGCACGTAAATTGTGAAATTTATCTTGGAGTTTTCATCTCGGTCTTGATGCAACTCTTAAATGCATCCCAACCTTCATATTTAATATTAGCTTTCGCCCCGCGATGCAACCTATCCTTCATTATCGCGATAAATTCACGATAACTCAGTAAACCGTCGCCATCTTCGTCAAAAATAGAAAACACAGTGTTTACAAGATGGATACTTAGGTTAGTTCCGGTGCAAATCTTCACAGCTCTTCTAAATTCATCTATAAAAACAAAAAATTATTTTTAGGTAAAAACATAAATAACAATGAAAATAATTTGTTTACCTTTTGATATTGGATGATCAGCCAACGTGTACATCCTCATAGCAATGTTGAAATCGTCCAGATTATTCAAAAACTGACAGAAAACATGAAACTCTTCAAAGGTAATACCTCTGGTGTCCTTTATACGATCCAATAATCGATCAATATAATTATCGTAGTCATCTGTGTCAAGATAAGTATAACGCAGTAAGATTTTAGCGAAATCTACTTCAGAAATTGTCGGTAATCCTTTGGAAAACTCATTAAACTCCAGTTCCAAGACTTCTTTTTGTAACGAGAGCATAAACTGTCGAAAGTTTTCAAAGTTCAATTGATTATTGCCTTTTGGACCAAAGAAATGTACTAGTAAAGTTGTGTCGACTGTGTGTCTTCGTTGTAAACCTTCTTCATCATCAACATATGCCTCTTGAATAGGCAATTTCATGTCTAGGCCTTCCGCCATTTGCATTCCACGTTTACCTTTCCAGGCATGACTGAATATCTTCTCCATCTGGTAAATTAAAAGATAAAAACATTAACAAAAAGTTTTAATATAAAATTTTTAGATAAATTGATGGTTATATGTGTGATTTATAGCCAAGACGGTAATTCGTTGTTGGAGGCCATCTTGTTAACCTGTCACCAAGGTAATGAAAGCGTATTTAATTCGGTTATCGCATAGATTGGTCAGAAAACCACAAAAAAAAAACACAAAACACCAATGATTTAGTTTAAATAAGTTGTAAATAAAATAAAAATGAACAAACACTGTTTGGATTAGAAAGCAACATCGCGCTTATAAAACACAGCGCTTGTTACTGAGCTAGTCGACAGATGGCGATGCGATGCGATGCAATGCAACACAATTCTCAACTTGACTCACTTCTCGCATATCTATATCGTTTCTATCTTTTCGTTTGCCCGCCAACAATGTACGAACCTAGATTCATATAATTCAAATAAAATAAAATATAACATAAAAATATTCGATTTAACATAGAATAATAAATAGAATAAATTTCTTTATAATAAAACTAACTCTCACTCACCACTAAAAATTCATTTTTGTCCACTTTTTCGTTGCCATCCGTGTCAAACATGTTAAAAGCAATTCGAAACCCAGATTGTGGTTCTAAAATTATTATTTTTAATTAAAACAATTAATTATTACATGGGGAAAACTTACTAGTCAGAACTGATAGTAAAAATAAATATTCTGTATAAGAAATGATTCCTTTATCGCTTAAATTGCGGAAGAATCTGGATGAGCCCTCTTTTAATCCGGGGGTTTTCGATTTGACAGCTTCGATGTCTTCGTCGGTAAGCATTCTCCTCTTTAATCGAGCTGTAATAATATTTTTTAAGTAGTAAACATAGTAAAACTGAAATTAAGAAAAGAAAATATTTATTACGTCTTGGATCTGCTTCAATTACAGACTCAAGAAAGTCCTGTGGGGTCATGTAGATTTGCGCGTGATATTCCACTGATGCAAAACGGATGAAACGGCGTTCACGCATTGTCAATTTTACTACTTTAGGTTCCTGAAAAGAAGAAATTTGAAATATAATTGGAGAAATATTTAAGTTTTTCTGATTTAAAACATTAGAGGAGACATTAGAAAAGAAACACCTTAAAATTAATATTATTCTGGACGATATCCTTTTTCTTAAAAAAACATCCTGGATTAACAAACAAATTCAACAAACAGACCAAACAGAACTTATGTTGCGTGCACAAATTTTATTCTTAGACTGTTTTTGACGTAAATTATTTATTCATGACGATTTTGTTGATTTTCGAACCCGGAATCGGACGGACGGAGAGTGAAAAGCGATTGAATCTCTAAATTTAGTGTGGTTTTCTAAATGCCACGAGACTTTATTTCAATAAAATAATAATTATTATTATCATTATGTACTATACCTTTATATTGAGTTATTTAAGATTTCATTTAACAGTCAAGAGATAATTATTAACAACTGACAATGCTTAATACGTATTGCTTTTTAATTAATACTAATTAATCATTTAATATAATCAATTATTTATCACACGTTCACTCTTTATTTTATTTTCTATTTTCCTAAAAAAAAAGTTAATTTATTTCCTGTTTGAATAGAATGTGACACTCTAAGCGCCAAATAAATAACCCCCAAGCAACCCTTAACTTGTTCACCCCGTGAACTGAAAATTATGTTATAAATCTCGCCGTTTTCTATTTGACTTTCTCCAGTAAGGGGCAGTTGCAGTCCTTGTATCTTGCGGTTAGTTTCATCCACCTAACAATCTTAGATCGCTATCACTATATCGGAGCTACCCTTGGAGTGAACAAAATTTATAGCTTCATCCCGAGTCACCACGAGTGCCTAGTGCCGTGGATATTCACACATTGCACCACAAGAGGCAAAATCAACAACGACTACCTGGAACTAGCAGTGCGGTTAGAAGTGACAGAAAGAACATTTTGTCACGTTTTGTCACTTTGTACGGTTTTATACTTTGCACTGCGTTTAGTTTTACTAATGACCGTTTAAAATGTTTGGAAAATCGCCGACCGAGTGATAAATTGATGGGAATTTATAACGGTTTAGGAGGTGCTATGTATCTTTCTTCATTTTCACCCCAAAAGTTTAATTTCCAACATTTTATCGCAGATAAAAAATGAAAAAAAAGAAATATTCGTCGGTTTTTCGTTATCACAAAGTAAAATCTTGAATATTTAGAAGTTTTTGGTGATATAAGGGTTCAAAAACACCAAAAAAACATGAATTTTCTTGACATTGACATATTAAAACAATTTATAATTATAATCTTTTTTAATTTAGGTTATTTTATCAAAAATTTGCCCAAAACTACTCCCTGAATAACTATTTTTAAATTTTTATCCCTCCAAAGTGTAAATTAAAGTAAAATAATCACCTGCGTCAGAAAGCTGCTCAAGAAGCTCAAAGAAAACGTGACTATCATATTCCAATGAAACATAACCTAACTCAACGTGTTAATGTGAAGACGCGTTCATTTGTCTCGCCACGAAATGCATAAATTTCATTCAGTTTTACAGTAAATCCTCTCTTACGTCTCATTTCTTGTTTTACTTCTTTCAAGCAAGTCAAAAAAAGTCAAGTCCCGTTCCTGGTATAAAATTACATTTAAGCGCACCGAAAATCGAATCCAAAAAAACGAATTGAATTCTTTCAGTGATTTCGTTAGATTTCTGAGAGATAGCGGCGATGAAGTTAATAAATAACTCAATATTATTGAACCGGCCTGTGTGGCCTAGATCAACAACTTTTATTTATTTTATCTTAGTTTAAATAAAGTTTCATTAATTAAACGATTGGAAAAAGGTAGGCAACTTAAAATACAAAACAAACCACTTACTACTTTTGCTTGTGCTGCAGCTTCAACACCTTGATTCTTTCTACACTCGTACAGAGTATAAATTGCTAGGGTACCACCCACTGCAGAGAGCACTTGAATAGGTGTAACATTCCTGCTGTATTTAAAACCCTTAAATCCACGGAATTCATTGCTACTGTTGCTGAACAACCGCGATTGACGATTGCAATTTATTGTTATGGTTTGCATACCACGAAGAAGACGATTAATCGTCGCCATTTTGATTAGTTATTAGTAAAAACACTTAGTTATAATTTAATATAACTTTTATAACACAATTTATACACGTTTGGCTACACAGATACTGTTTCCACACTCGCCCATAAGTTTATTTTTGTGCGTCAGCTGTTAAAATCAATAATATAAAGAATTAGACACTAGATGGCAGCGGTGTCACGGAAACATTCTTTAGATACGACAGGACCGTACTTAAAGTAGAAATTAAGTTTATTTTAATTAAAAATTAGATTTATTAATGGAAATAAATGCTTGAAAGTAGATTTATGTGCGTAACAAAGTTATCAGAGTGTAAATAGATTAAATATTAATAAAATCAATAAAATATAATGGTATCCATTATTAATGGCGATTGTAACGTCGTAAAATAAATGTCTGCTAACATTTCAAGAATTAAATTTCATTTCGATACTGACAAGCCTAAAAGGAATTAGCAGTGAACCGTAACCAATAAAATCCGAATCAAAATAGTCAATTAAAAATTATTTATTATTAATCGCCTGTTATATACGAAAATCGTTTTAATTAATTAATTATTAAAAACTCACTTTATAAAAATATTACTAGTGTTTTTATAGCTTTGCTTTTGTTTGATTTGACCTAAATGTCTAAACTTCCGGTGTGTGATCACATTTTTCCTCGTTTTCCGAACACAATAAATTAGCGCCGCTGCAAACACTGCAATAAATAAATAATTGCGCGCCGAGTAATAATATATAATACGTTGCAGATTCATTCATCGATTGCGGTCAATTTATGCGGCTAATTATTTTCTCCATAGCTCTTCATGCCGGAGCGCAATTAATCGACGCTCGGCGCAGGAAACCGTTTAATATCACAACTATCGCATGGATTTTATCGCATAAATACTAAATACGCGATGACGCCGTCATAATATCACACGTTTGCGCGGACAGTGAGTACGGACAAGCACTTATCAGTTAATTAAAGATCAATTAATAATAAACGAATGCGTTTTCAAGCGCAGTTTAACGGTTATTATTAGACTTTTAGAAATATAATAAATGTAGTTGAAAATAATAAGTATTATTTTACTTTCTTCTTTTGCTTTATTTATTTTTTATAAAAAAGTAGAACTTGACAAAACATTATATTTAAAGCCACTAGAATTAAAACTTGGGTCATAAAATATAGAATAAACATTAATTTTTGTGTAAAGTACGTGATTGATCATTATTTTAGTAAAAAGCTCCACCCCGTGACTAAAACCCGTGAGTAAAGTACTTTAGCCACTACCTTGGTCATCTGTGTTTAAAGTAACACTTCCTCTAATGGTCGAAATAGCTATCCACATCAGGCTTTACAAATACTTGCATTGACTTGCAATGGTTTAGTAAAAATATCGTTTCAGCGATATTGTGAGGGTATAGCGTACAGTAAGTGTTTACTTAACTTTACTTAGCTTATACTCACCCTCTCGTACTACCATTGTATTTCAACTTTTTATATCTCAAAACCGTGGAAAAAGTAGTGCTTTCAAGCTGGAAGTAAAAAAAAAACCCTTTCGAATATTATAGAACAAGTTTGTTAAAATATAATTATCAGTGGCGTTCGGTACTTATATCGCAACTCAAACATTAGTTTTACTAAACTACTATTAAATCTATAGAGATAACTTCAATTGTTTTTAAGGCTTAGATTACTGACTAAGCTACTAACATTTTTTCTTTTTATATCTTCATCTATTGTTGTTCGAAATCATCAATATCAATATCAACGATAGCATGAAACGGCAGAAGAGTGATGCGAGGATAAAACACACAGCACATGTTCCGATAGCTCATTGATATTGATATCTCAATGGGGAGTCATAAAACAATCGCTAAAGAAAAAAAGAAAGAAAGGCAAAAGTTTAAGTAAAAAGTTAAGGGGATACATTCATTCAAATTCCTCAAATCGCAAAATATTTTTTCCTTATTTTTCTTTAAAAAAAATAAATATTTCAATAAAATAAAAAGAATAAATCGCCTTAAGTCATTAATAAAATTACTCATTTTTAATCTCCCTGCGCTTTCATCAATCTCATCATTAAGCCTGACCTAGAATCGCCGAGATATAAACATCTCAGTTATTTTATTCGGCAATTAAGCAAAAAAAAATCTCTGATACGTCTCGTGTATCCACAGTTGTCTAGTCAAGCAAAAACTGTTATGCGATTGCGTCAACCGCACACGTCGGAAGACCCCAATTATTGTAAACAAATTTCCATCGTCTTAACTTAAGCGCATCATGCGCGCGCGATGAGCGATTAAGTTTAGATCCGGCGATAAGATCTCAAAATTTTTACTCGGAAAGTTAATTTATTCAAATGTATGCACGCATTCGGCACGCTCGCAATGTTGGTTTTAAGACGCGACGCTGATAATTTAATACTTGGCGAGTCGGTAACGTAACCTCAAAGACGTGCGGCTGCGGAAGACAACGTAATATAATGAAACAGTATCGTTATGAAATTCTAGTATCTAGACAGTGCATGCGTAGGTGCTTGCACTGGATATGAACAATGCTAACACTTGGAATGAGGTATGGCCAATGGGCAATGGGCAATTATGAGATAACAAGGTACGTGAGTCACACGAATATTTTACGCATAAATCCATTGCGATTTTTGGTGCCTTTTTGACGCTATTTTACTTGAGTTTGGATTTATCTACATTGTGGGATTTCTAATTATAAGTCTATGAACAAGTATTTGTACTTTAAGACACTTTCGGAAATTAGTTGCGTCTTAAATAACAGGCGTGGGGTTGAGGAATTGCGGGAATTCCTGGTGGGATTGAAAGTTTTAGTGTTTCATGGTTGACAGACAAAAGTTTAAGTGGTTCAACCCTTAAATCTCAAATGTACACATTTTGGGAACGTATTTATATCAAATAAAAGATTTTGTTAGATTTTAAAAGTGAGAAAAATAAAATTTTCACAAAAATAAAATGAAAATTGCTAGTTTTTTGAGAATTATTCAAAAACTAAAAATGATATCATCACCGTTATTTTAAAAATTAATTTTATACTAAATTCTACATCTTATAATATAAAGATTTATGTAAATAAATTATTAGATAATTTGTTATAAGACTTTAAATATGTAAATATGCAAGAAATGAACATAATGTTGAATTAATTTGTCAATAACTTGTTTAAAACATAAGATAAAAGCAAAATGTTTTTATAAATATATGCACAATTTAATTCTCAATTGATATGCACAAAATAGTTATTGTAACTTTTTTCGTTTTCGAATTATTCACAAAAAACTAATCAAAAAGTTTGATTTTCAAGCTTTGGCATGATTCGTCATAAGTTAAGTTTACCGGTCTAAAAGAGACGTAATCTTGTTTTGTGTCAGTTATTTGTCAATAACTCATAAACGCAATTAGATATCAAATTGAATGTTTTAATAATTGATTGTATATTAAATTTAGAATATTTCTAGATAAATAAATAAGATAAACAAATAAATTTGTAATAAGTTACACGCGTGTGAAATTACTGAGATTAAAATTTAAAAAATTCAAAGTAAATTATTAATAACAATTGTAATTTATGATTTAGCAATAAAATAGTATTATATATAGATGTAAAATTTAATGCTTAATCGATGAGTGTAAAAATGAGAAGTATACCTTGTTTAGTTAACGAGAAATTAATGAATCACTAGAAAAAACATGATTAATGTGTACTATAGACCGCTTAGCGTGCAAAAAATTCACAATGACGTCGCCAACAATAAATTATAAAATAAGCTACTTATCAATGAAATGCTAAAACAATTAAAAATATTATGACCATCATAATTTATTACCACACGGAATTAACTTGCAGTAATTAATTAAAACCTAATAAACATATCGTTTTTGTCATTTTCCGCCTTTATTCTTCACAAATACAAAAACAAAGCCGCAACTTCACATTGCATGAATAAGAAATAGCTAATAACTAACCGCGAATGTATTTTTGCGATTTATTTCAGTGCGCGATGTTTGCTAAATTGCTCCTTAACTACTTTGGGACGCGCAGTGGACTTGATATTACCACGTAAAATCGTCGTGGGCGCGCGCACCGAGCGCTTTCCGTTCGCATTTAATTTCAAACAAATTGCTTCATATATCATCTCGACATTAGAAAAATCGACGCGCAAGGCATCCAAGCAGCACACTGGCCTCTTCTATTCACATTAACGCAAGAAGCGTCCAACTCTTAGACGCTAGTCTTTAGTCCAAAGACAAAACGCATTCGAGAATGAAAAGAAGAAACCGAAAGCGCAACCGCAATAAACATTCATGACAACATTACCTCAAACCATCAAGCGACGTCCATTAAAATATTATACCAACACATATATAACTTTATGAATGAATATTTTCTAGGTTAAGGTTAATGTTGAGGTTATAACAAGTTCAAATTGTAGGTTATGTACGCCGTTCACATTCACAACTTGTATAAGTGGTACATGATATTGTTTGACGGCGGCGCGCCGAAAAGTAAAAGCGACGTCTTCATCAATCAATGCGGCGATCTGCGGCGCGGTGCATCAATTTACGCTGTAATGATAATCGCTCACGAAATCGGATCGCGCCAGCCAACCGCCACTTATGTTGTCGTAATGTAGCGGCACAAATTTATTCACATCGTCACAGCTCCTTTTAATAGCGCTAATAATACTGGTTTCGAGGCTTTTATCACGAGTTTATTCAGATTTAGGTGTAGCTAATCAGTTCTAAAACTTTGAACGCTTCTTTTTTTTGTGCAAATTATGATGACATTATCATATTTATAAAATATGTTTATAAAAATCACTTAGGAACGGGTTTTAGAGAATTGAGTGAGTGTAAATTTTTAAATATTATAATAGTTTATCGGGGTTATCATAAAATGGATCTTTTGTCAATAAATTTTAATTTTTTTTTCGTTTTTGTCAAATTTAGTCAAAAATATTTCCAAAAAATCTTATAAATCTCTTTTTACACCAGTAAGGAGTAATATTTTTGCAAATTTTGACATTTTAGACAAAAATTTACTCCTATTATGCTAAAATTTCGGAAAAAATCTTTAAATCTTTATTCTAAAACTGCGAAAAACAGATTTTTCTTAATTTAGCAAAAAATACCAAAAAGTTTGAGAAAAAACTTAAATTTTGCAAAAAATTACAAAATTTTAGAAAAAATTGTTTCATTTCCACAAAACTCTAATTTTATTCCGTAATAATCTTGAAAAAACTTAAAAGCTTGTTTTTATCGATTTATTCAAATGATTATTGCTAATTGCATTAATATAATCACCTAATCATCTAGAATTACACTTGTGCATTATATTTCCTATGAATTGCTCCATTAGCTATGATTAAGCAGTCTAATTTATATCCGCGTTGCAAACATGGCGAATGTCACGTTGTCCACTCCACGTTCAACGCAAATAATTGGCGTAATAAAAGATTTATGAAGTAATTACCGCTTGTGACAGTAGTAAATAGAACTGCCGCTAGGTGACACTGCTAATCCGACACTTCATACTTGTAATACCTATTAAATAAGCCACGAATTTTTGTTAAGTATTTATCTCAGCAAGTGGTCTTTCTGCGCATAAATAAGACATCTTCATCTTGTCGAAGATGCTTGGAGGAATTTTACGACGGTGGTGCCGGTGCGTGTCGCCTAATAGTTTTACGATCCCGAGGCGTTAACGGGCTAACGCACCCTATAAAAATCGAAACGTTTAACTTTTCACTGCGTTTCGAGCGCGCTTTTATTCCGAGACCATCGCAAAGGTGATAAAACCTCCAAAAACCTCAATGGGCATGGTCACCACTTCGAAGCGGGCTAATATTCAATGCATTTTATTAGATTCACATTTGACGGGTTGTAAAGTCAAGATTAGTTGAATTTAAGTAACTTTACTTAAGATAAGTAGTGTAATGGTAGAAATATAGGTAACCAGGTTAAACTAAAATCTAAATAAAATTATGAGTTTTTCATCTATAAAATGTAACTTTTTGCAAAATTAGACTTTTGGGAAAACTTTTATATTTTTGATATAAAAGTGAAACATAACTGAAAAAAATCTGTTTTTAAATTATTTCTCAAAAATTTTGAAAAGTTTTCTGTATTTTTGGTAAAACTTGAAAAATAATCTCCACGGGGTCAAAACCCTAAAGTGGTACTTTAAACATGGATAACCAAAGCCGTGACTAAAGTACTTTATACTATTTGCGATAAAATTACTTTTTTAGAAAAGCCCAAATTATTTATTAGAACTTCTAGCACTATTTAAAACCGTTATTTGGCAAAATTCAATAAGTATTAAATTATCTGGGATTATACTTGAAAGCATTTTTTAGCCTTTTGCCAAAAAATAAGTTGCAACAGTTATAATTTTACCAAATTTGGCAAAAACTCCAAAATACTCATCCAAAATTATCCCATGGTGATATCCAAATTTAGCCAAACTATTATCTCTAACATTTTTACCAAATTATTATCAAAATAATAATCCATCACATTATTCCAAAAATTACAAAAAAAACTAATATCTCCCATTGTATAAAAACCAATGAAACATCCATAAATGTCAAAATAGAAAGGAATCTTAATCTTGCACAGTCAGCTGCAAGTCAGTCTTTCCTCATGGAATTCACTCAAGTCCATTTTACGATTATTACAAACAAATTACATATAAATCAAGATTAATGCAAGATCATACACTCGCGCATACATATCACTCAAATTTACATGTATTTGCATTCGATTGCATTCGATTTCGCATTCCCGACATTCAGTCTACGTGACCCAGAGCAGGTGTGTGCATTTTGGCGAATGTGACGCGCGTGGGTGGTGTTCAATAAAAAACGGCACAACAAATAAGACGCGTGGTGGGGGCGGCGTGCATGCAATATGTTGCAATCGTGTATATACACGTGCGTTGTTTGCCTACGTGACATAATTTACACCATACGACCGTGTACATACGAGTTGATATAGGTATAAAAGTTTATTGGTATGAGTATTCGAAAAGTTCGCGATGGTTTTAACGCGTCACGAATGACGATAAACGGATTATATTGTATGTACATACGAGTACTGTACGGGTATATCAAGTGCAATAGTAATATTTGAAACGTTAGAATCAGTTCGATCTTCTCAACTGGCGGTTCGATATCATATTTGTTTGGCAAATTTTTGCAAAACGTGCGAAACGTTATTTTCGTAAACAAGTTGCGATAAACAGCAAACAACAACACAAAGTCAATAAGAAAGTGTCGTAACAGTGTAAAAAGTGTATTAAATCTTGGTTTGGTGAAATTTTTCGCGAATTTCACCAGACGCCGAATTGTGATTACTTGGCTAAATTTATAGAAAGTAATTCACGCACGCGTTCTTGACGAGCAGCAGAAGCGCTATTAAAATGGATTTCATGATGAAGCATAACCTGGGCGTGCAGAATTTAATTTTGGAAGAGTGTTTGATATGTTTTGCCAAACTCGGACACTGTGAAGTAAACTTTAGAAGACTGCAAAAAAAGTGATTTTAGAGAAATTTAGTCAAAAAAAAGTGTAGTGCAATATAAAAAATTAGAAAAAATTGGTGCAGGGAAAATTAATTCTTGGTATTTTTTGTAAAAATCAAAATCTACGCAAGAAAATTTTTGGGGAAAAATATTTTTTGAAAAAAATTTTTTGGGAAAAAATATTTCGAAAAAAAATAATCAAAAAATTAGTTTTTTTACGAAAAAAACTAAACATTTTTGATTAATTTCGAAGATACCCAAGATTTCAACCAGAAGAAGTCTGGTGTTCAGTTGGACCTCTCCTACCGACACATCTCGCTCGCCAACTCAACGCGGCGTCGCCGTCAGTTGGCCATAGCCGGCGTCTCGCACTCGCACAGTGCGTCCGCGGCCGCCGAGCCAGCAGCACCACACACGTGATCCTCTTTGCGCGCCCCGGTCCCGAGAAGGATTACCACCACGCCAGCCAGGATGACCGCGCGCGGCGGGCGCGTGCCCATGCAGTGCGTGCGTGCGGGGTGGTGAAGACGTCCCCGCGCCTTCCCCATTTCGAGTGTGCGTGTGTGGCGACTCCAGGGCGGCGATGCCTCAGTCATGGTGAAGGCGCCGTCGCTGGGGTTGCTTGTAGCTACTATGTGTTGCATCGCCAGCTGTGCCAGTGCGCCCGCTCCCATTGACTACCACCACCATCACCAGCAGCAGCAGCAGCAGCACCAGGAGTTGCTCATTGACGACGGCGCGGAATTCGCGCGCGCCGAGCGCAGCGCTTCGAGCATGGCGCGCAAGATTCAGTTCTTCATCAAGAACTATCACCTGCAGATCTTGCCGGATGGTACCGTGAATGGCACTTTGGATGATGGCAGCGTTTATAGTAAGTTGAACATATTTTGTTACGCGGCCAAGTTATGCACTGACCTACCGCGGAAAAGTGCATATTATGCAGGGTTAGTGTTTCGCGCGGTGTTATCGTCGGCTCGGATAACGCAATCATTACATGGTCTACTTTTTTCACGCACAACTTCCGTTCAAATTATTTCCGCATTGGTAAATTTTCAGTAAAAAACAAACTTCGTACTTTTTCATCAATAAAAATCAATTTAAATTAATTTTAGTAAAAAATTTAATTAAAAAAAAATTAATACTAACTCAAAATGAAAATTTTTAACAAAAAATATTTTTAATTATGTCAAAGTACATAATCTCATCAAACAATTAATTTTTAAATTTTTTTCCATAAAATTTTCACTAAAATTCTAAAAAATCAAAAATTTCCTATGCTTTGACTTGCGGTACAAGTACCGAACGCACATATTACCATAGCAACCATAAAAACTAAAAAATTCTTCCTCAAACAATTTTTTTCCTATCTAAACATTCAAAAGTAAATACTCTTCGAGTGCTCTTATCACTTATCACACGATGGTTAAACCCGTAATGCCATAATTACTTCACGATTTATCATCGCGACAATAAATCATCTGCGCGTTGGGTTTAAACGGCCGCATTTAAGTAAATTATTATTTAATTAATTGACTGGACAATCAACAATTATTAAATATATGCGTGCGGAGCTGCTTGCAGTGAACGCATAAAAGGCGTTTCGAAAACGCTCGAGATAAAAAACGCCATAAAAACGTCTTCGTGCGGCGATAACGCTCGCCATTGTGGACGCGTGTATTTTCGTGTTTCAAGTATAAGTACACTCGGCCATTAGAAAACTATAAAAATTTCAACCGGCGTCCCGAAAGTGTTCCGAATGTGTTTCCTCCCACGTGGCGACTAATCACACGCCAGTGTGCGGCGGTTCGGACTAATTGGATGCGTGTTACTAAGGGTAGTTAATTGGGAATCAACATGTAAACTGAATATAGATACATTTGTAGAAGATTGGATTATTTAAAAGTGGATTGTAGAGTATTTATAAAAGTTTATTTTGAAGCAGTAGTGGTAATACTTAAAAAGTTAAAATTTTATTTTTGAAAAAATTTCAAGGAAATTGATTTTTTGCAAAAACTAGCGAAGCAATCAATTAAAAACTTTTGAGGTTATTGCGTATACAAATTGACAACAAAATAAAATTTATTCCAAAGAAAAATATGTTGTGGTTTGGAAATAAAATGCAAAAAACTGTAAAATGCAAATAAAAAATAAAATTGATGTTTTAATTTGCAAAAATGTTTTTTTGAAAAAAAAAAACATAAAACTTTTAATTATGATATTTTATAAGGATAGTAGATTTTAAAAAATTATGAAATTCCTAAATTTCAAGGTACCTAAATTTTTGTATTTTTTAGTGAAATTTTTCGAAAAAAAAAAAATTTTGATAAAAATTCCAAAAATTTTTCTATAAATCAAATTTCCATGCATTTTTTAATCAAATTTCTTTGTATATGTGAAATTTGAAAGTAAATACGTATCGCGCGAATTCAAGCCGGTCGACATCTTGGCTATTAGCGGCAGGTGCTAAAATAAGCATGACCTATGTCAGACGGTTGCCGAAACGCGCACAGCGCGATTAGCGTCCTTAGCGTCCTTCTCAGCGTGCGACGCTTCTTACACGCGGGGACAGAAATCATTACCTCATCGCTTGTCCTGCGCCTAAATTTAAAACAAACTCAAACTAACAACTACTCAATGTACCTACTCTACTCGCACATAACTAGCCGAAACTGAAAGTGAAACCAGAAACACCAATTTTCATCCTATTTATAACAATAATAAAAATAATCACAAAATAAAAATAAAACACTTTTCAGCTGTGTTTAAGTTATGCTGCTTTTATTGCACATCAAATACGCAAGTGTTTCGGATTTAGTTTTAGTTTTATCAATGACACAATTATGTGAATCAAAGCTCTTGAGTGTTGAGCGAGCGCGCGCGCGACATAAATTACGCAGGTATTTATAGCATGTATAGCGCTACGTCGCATGCTTCTTACGATTTCTTTTCGCACCTTCTCGGCGATTACGAGATGAACAAACGACGCACAATACGAGTACTCTGGTGAACTCTCGAACGCTCCGCATTACAAAGTGCAAAATGCATTGTTATTTAATTTATTATAGAGATTATGATATATAGGTAATTATAAATTTGATAACAAGGAAGTAGATTAACTGATATAACTATAGGCGTTTGTGTCTGATGTTTCTAGACGACATACACTCCAATTATAAATATAGATATGCTAATTCTACGTCGTCGAGTTGAAGATACTTACAACTTACAAGTTCTGGTTGTACTCGTAAGTCGTGTTGTAGAAATATCAGAGTACAAGTAGAGAGTTGAGCATGTGGTGCTTACTATGATAGATTGCGAGCGAGGCGTGAAAACCGCCGAAATCAATGTCAACGCCGCCACCGCCGCTTGGGATGAGAGAGGATAAGCCATGCTTTTTTGACCGCGAATTTCTCGCTAGATTTATGCGCAGACGCTAAGCAGCCAAGCATGGCTAATAAATCTCATGCGTTTCGTTGAGTTGGTTACAGTTACGTAGAGTATGAGTAGAAAGAAGTACGAGTTGATATCTACCGAAAGAAAATCGATTGCAGGTCGTTGTCGTTCATGGTATTTAATTTGGTTCATAAATTTTTTGATGTTGCGTATTTGTCGAGCGTTGCGTGCGTGTCGAATGGGAATAAATCAATTCTCAAGTCTTTCGTCGACGCAGGTTCATGCAGCTGTTTTGTGTTAAAGAGGCGAATAAATCGATGGAAATGATGGTATTGATTTTAGTTTATTTCGGAAATTAGACCACCAAAGGTCAAGAATTAAGTTTTTGGAAATTTCGAATATTTGTATTCACATATTTGTTATTTATTTGATAAATTTGGAAGAAAAATGAAGTAAAATCGAGAAAATTTTTGTATTTTTGTAAAATTTAACTTAATATATAATTTTCTTAGGAATTATATTATAAATAATTAAGAAAATAGAAAATTGTACAAAATAATTAAGAAAATTCAACAAAAAATTGATTTTTTTTAATTTTATTAGAAAAATTTGTGAAAAAACTTAATTTTGAAGAAATTTCTAGAAAATAAATTAATTACTACTGAAAAATAAGGAAAATATTTAAAATAAATTAAAACTGTCCAAAATTTTAGAAAGAAAAAAAGATTTTTGTCTGTTTTCTTTAAAAAAAATCTAAAGACTTAAATATTTCTCATCAAAATAATTATATCAAATTACAAACATGATTTTCCCCCATTTCAACATTATTTTACACAAATTTTGCCTCAAAAAACTTAAATCAATATAATTTCCGACACATTCAATAAAACTCTCTCTCATTTTTACATAACCCCGACACTTAACATAATTTTCCCACCCGAAATGAATAAATGACTGCACGCAACGAATTTCGCACACGCGAATAACGGCGATTTTCATACCCGCCATAAAAAAAGCGCGCTACGTAGGGCCGTAAATATGATTTCGCACGAGAAAATCGTATTTATAGTCTGCGCGTTATTCGGCCGGCCGCCAGCAGCTGAAGGAATAAATAAATCCGGAGGTGTTCCGCCACACTTGCAAACAAATAAATATGATTGGAATCTCTCTCCTCTGCGATACGAGTACAATAATTTTACAACCAAAAATATCCAGCTTATAATAACGCACAATTGCTCCACTAAAAAAAAACGTTGATAAAATTGAGAAGTCATAAACACTGACAGCCGGAGACAATAAAATGTAGATCTTTGTTTCCTACAACTATACAACTACAAAACTCCGCTCGAAAAAAAATATATAATGAGGAATGAACGAGGATGGTGTGTGCGTGGTGCACAGCGGGCGCCCTTCGAAGAGACATCCAATAAAAATTCAATTGTTATCCGCTGCGGCGCCTCAACCACACGAACAATTTATAATTTATACGAGCGTCATTAAAAGCAGGGTAGGAAAAAAATCATCATAAATAAGACGCCGCGCACTCATATCCCAACATACACACACCACCCTTAAAATTCTTTTATTTTTATTTTATTTTTGATTATTTACAATCTCGTTTCTCGTCGTGTCTTCTTGAAACCGATCATAACACGTTTACAAGACACACCGCGTCTCGGTGAATACGGTGGTAAACGCAGCGTTAAGATTTAAGAGTGGTATATATTTATTATTTATACGTCAGTATGTGTTGTGGGGATAAAGAAGCGATAGAGCGATAAAAAGCGAACATAAGCGAAAGAAGTCGCGCGTGTAATCTTTTTATATTCGCGTGCGCGCATAACTACACGGCTCGTATGCTCGATAAAATAAATCTAATGGACTTTTTCACACCGCCGGCTTACAATCTCTTCATTCGTGCATTGGTTTATTCGTTTAGCTTAAAGTTACATGCTAGAGAGGCTCGTGTGGCTGTTGGAAGCTAGAGGAATGTATTCAAGGTAATTCTGATATGGGGAAATTTGTGATGGATAATTTATATAATAGGAGATGAAGTGATAAGAAAAGTGTATTGTTTGTGCTATAAGTAGGTTTTGTGTGCTAATATTGGCGAAACACTTAAAAACTTGTAATTTTAATTTAATTTTGTTTTTTATCTTTGAGTACCTACTTAAGTGCGATTTTATCTTAGTTTTGAAAAATCAAAGGTGTCAATCAATTGTCTCATCAATTATCTATGAGATCATCTTTTGATTTTTATTATCAGATTATTAATTCGCTCCTAATATGGTTTTAAAGTAAAATTTGCAATATTTTTTCTAAAATTTTTAGTCTTTTAGTTTTTCTGTTATCACAGGATAATGGTTAGGTATATTTTTATAAAATTTACAAAATATATACGTACTTAAATTATCTATATAATGAAATTAATTTCAACAAGCTACGATTTTTAGATTAAAAGTTACAACGTTTCAAAAG